TGTTATTGTAAGTAAATTAATAAATCAAAACAAACTTAACGTCTCCCTCAATCTCATTTGCGTAAGAATTGTCACGTGACGAATCTGCATTTTGGTGGATAATAGACTTAACGGTAATGCTTGCCTGTTGTGTGGAATAAAATGATGTTCCGCGTTTTTAACAACATACACGAACTGCAGAGAAATCTGGAGACAACGAAAAACTCAGATGAAGATATTAAAGCCGTGCTTGATGATTCCGGACCCCGACAATCAGATAAAGGTGATCCACAGGACGCAGCCGGTTTAGCCGCACACTACTTTTATGCCGACCATTTACATCCAAATGTTATTTAATTTTCACAGAACACAACCTTTAAATAGATTTTAGAATATAAACTGTTTATCGTAAGTCGTTATAACGAGAAAACAAGATGGAAAAAAATAATAATGCATGGCCGCTTAGAACTTCCGTACCGTCTGGAGTAAGGGTACAACAATAAAATCTGCATGAAGGCATTTGAAAAGTAGAAAAAATGAATGATCTAGGCATTGTATAACATTTCTAAGTTTTAATGTTACCGTCATATGAAATTAAATCTTATAGTTTTTAATAAATAACAACCCCTGGGACAGAAAAGTGCACATAGTTGAAGAAACACATATACAGTTTGCTTGTTGCGATATCATCTAACTTTACCTCATACCTTACTTCACAAATTCATTCTAGGATTTTAATGCGTAAATTTCGACTGCCACAAGATCATGAATGTAAGTAGACAAATGTTTCTTTCTAAGGTGTAGGCATCATCAATTCAATCCTGAGAACTTGCAAACAGATGCACATAAAGGCACATACTACCTGTACACAAATGTTTGAGCTGCAGATGTCTTTCTGGTCATTTGTTCGGTTTCAGATTGTTTTCAGTATGGTCTTGCGGAGAGACAGATCCTAGAGCTGTTACAAGGGCTTCATGTGACCAAAACTACATCTCCTAATGACAGGAGGAGCTCAGGCCCATCATGTCCTGAGCCTAGTGAGGAAGACGGAAGCATCAGACAGAAAGACATTGAGGAAGATGATACATGTCCAATCTGTCAAGAAGAACTTTTGCTGAAAAAATTGCCAGTGACCTATTGCAAGTAAGAGAACTTATTCAGAATTAATCTTATGAAATTAAATGGATACTCTCTAAATATATGTATAGTTTAATGATAAACACTGTATTTACCAGGAAGTTAATATGTTTCATAGCTGAAACATTTGAAATCAATACATAACATAACCTAGAAATGTATTAAGAATGTCCTTTCTCCATCTTTAAAGCCAAATGCATCACACTCACCCAAGTTTCCATTTAAACCCAAAAAGCTATTAGTGATCCTCAATTACATGAATTTCTATGTTGCAGTGGTAACCGGTTACATTGTAATTATGCATCATTGTTAAGGTTTAGCTGTGGAAACAACATCCACATTTCCTGCATGAAGGTATGGGCTGATCATCAAATAAAGAGGGACCCGCGTGCACTTCTTAAGTGTCCTCTCTGTAGGGAGGACTTTGGCACTTTTAAGCAGCTAATTGAACAGGTACGTCATTCCAAGACACAGTCACTCAAAATTGTCTTTACTACCCTTTGTTTAAACTTAAATAATCTTGGGTTTAAATGTGTTATCTTTGACAGGTGAAAAATGCAGGTGAACTGTTAACCTGCTATGAGAAGGACTGTCTGGACAAACATCTGGGTGTTATGTGTAACAGCTGCAGGGTTTGTCCAATCATCGGCAAATGTTTCAAGTAGGCCTCTATTACACCATTGGTCTCAAACTCAATTCCTGGAGGGTCACAGCTCTGCACAGTTTTGCGCCAACCCTAATCAAACACACCTGATCCAGCTAATCAAGGTCTTCAGGATCACTAGAAACTTCTAAGCAGGTGTGATTTGGAGCTGGTTGGAGCTAAACTCTACAGAGCTGTGGCCCTTCAGGAATTGAGTTTGAGACCACTGTATTACACAGTGCAGACATATACTATTGTTCAAAAGTTTGGGGTCAGTAAGATTTTTCTAAATGTTTTTGCAAGAAGCCTCTTATGGTCACCAAGGCTGATGATGATCTGCCGATTTGGTGCATGAATATATGTTTTTTCTAAGTTTTAAAATCCTACTGAGCCCAAATGTTTGAATAGTAATCTATTTATTCTTATTCTGACTAATGTTGAATTGGAGTGTCATATTCAATGTCTTAAATCTGATGTTTACAGGTGTACAGAGTGCAGTTTTTTCCATCTGTGTGAGGACTGCTTTAGGAGAACAGTTCATCCACAACATTGCTTCATGGTTCGAATGGTGAGTTTTTAAGATTCACATGTGAGCAGGAAACATGGTGATGCTATTCATAACTGCACAGTGAAGTTATTTGTAGCATAAATTAGAAAAAAGTTTACCATATGGCACTATTAAACAATATAATAAACAACATGTTTTGAATGTTTAAAGTGATGTTTAGGGTGTTATATAGCGATTTAAGTGTAGTTTAATGCATTATAGCATTAAGAGGTTAACAAAATATTCTTTCTTTACTGTTAAAATTGTGCAGAAAAGAGGTCAGCCATGGCATACAGTAGAACCTCACATCTCTGAGGAAACACAGAAAATGGAAAACCACTCAGTGTGTAGTAGGTTTGTCTGCTCCATTCTAGCTTCTGTGCACAATCTTTTTTTTTAATTCCAAACCCACTTTAAGGGATTTTTTGGGAAATTTGTTTGGACACATTACTTTATTTTACTCTACATAACAGCTCCAGCAGCATGTCTGGTGTGACATGTGATATAGTCCCGAACTATGTAATGAAGAGTTTGCCGATGGTGAGAGTTCGGAAAGAGTCCAGACTGCTTTATCCAGGTATTCAGTGTAGAATCTGCCTCTCAAGATTTCAACAGGGTCAGCATGTCAGAACCCTTCCCTGCAAACACAAGGTAACACAACTCAAGTTCATCTCACTCAATGTGTGTTGAATACTGATAAAGCTTTAATATCTTTTTTATTATCTATTTTCTCTCTTTCCTGAACCTGATCCAGTTCCATACTGGCTGTATTGATCCATTGCTCCGCAAGTCTAACTGCTGCCCACTGGACTGGCACATCATCTACAATCCTCTTACGTGGAATCCCAAAAGTGGCAGAACAGAAAGCTCTCTGACTCCATCTAGTGATGTTCTGAGCAAGCATACCGATGACCAGATCTCAGAGTTCTTTCTACCAGGTATTGGTTTGCACGTAAAAAGAAGTAGAGCTCCATCTCCGTTGAGATTAGTGACATCTGAACCAGGGTATTCCAGTCCTTCCTCTGTGGATTCACTCACTCAGGGTTTTCGGGATCTCTGCATCAATAGTTCCCAAATAGAATCATATACCAGAATGTCCACCATGAAGCAAAATCATACAAAAGAACAGAGGTCTCTTCATAGGAGCTTATCAGTTGGGAAGGCAATAGCTGCACAGGCTGAGATGAGAGAGTCCTTCCTAAATAGGCCCTCAGCAACTTGTTTGAACATCCAGTCAGCTTTGGCTGGAACACAAAATGATCAGCAAAGCCTTGCTGTGGGCATTAATGGATCATCCAGCATGACTCCAGTTTTCGGCAGGATCAGACCACTAAGGAATGGTCGCTTAAGAGAGAGACCAAGGCCAAACAGGGTGGATGTGAAGAATCTTCATCTCTGGATGACAAACAATCCTGTCAAAGTTATACTTATGAGAAAACGAGAGTAAAGTGAACAAGTATGCAATCAAAAAATAATGGTAGCAAGTTGCTTCAAGGGTGTCTGGATTACCTCCACAGTCCAGGATGCAAGAATTTAAGACACTCAAATGTGTAATATTAAAAAGCTTTTATTAAAATACTGCTATAACATTAAAAACCAGAAGCACCCTGAGGAAGGCTCTTTTTAATGTTATACCTCATATGAGTGCCTTAAATTTCTTGTTTAATAAAATCAAGCATGTTAGGTTTTCTTGTATTTAGCTGAGCAGTCACTGAATTGCAGAATCTTTAAACTCAGAATTAACATGCTTAATGCTTGATCTTTCCTGAAAACAATGGCAAAGACGGGCCATTTTTGATGTTATTGCCCTGTTTTAAAATGGGCTTTTTAATATTATACCCAACGTGACCCTTAAAATGATGCCTTACATTTCTCGTTTAATGAAACCAAGTGTGTTCTAATCAGGTATGTTAGGTTGTTAGGTAGTTTGCAGAGCAGTCACTGAATTGCAGAATCCTTAAACTCAAAATTAACAATGCTTGATCTCTGCCGAAAACACAGGCAAAGACAGGCCAATTTTGACATTTATGTTGGTATAAAAGACAGTACTTTTATTATTGTCTTTTGATTTTTTGAATTTCTAATTATTTGTTAATTATTTAATGTTTATTTATATGGTTTAAAAAATCTAAAATAAAATGTATGCTTTCATTAATTCTGGGTACATAAAACTCATGAGGTTATTTTTTTTTTTTTGTGGTCAAGTACCTTTATTAAATGTGCACAAAAAGGCAGATTACAAGCTGTACTTTAAAGCATCCAGTAATGGCTCATGAGCCATTTAAACCAGTGTGTTGAGAAATAATTAAAATATATTACAATTAATGAAATAATAAATGCTACAATACAACCAACATAAATTACGTTAAAAACATTCAGCTGACACAATGCAATCTCTCCTTGGTCATACTTCATTTAAAATGTCAAACACAATTTCCCTTCTTAGTTCTCATTTGCTGCCTGACAACAAGAAGCTAGAGTTTTATTGTAACTGTCAATAAAAATTAAACCGTTACAATTAATTGTCTAAAATAATACAACTACAAAAGCTCCAACACATTCAGTACATGAGTTGATAATGATTTGTTGTCAATTTATGAAGAAATATTTCACACACAAAACACATCAGCACAAGAAACATCTTAATATGCTAGGTTCAGCTGTGCTAAGGTAAGGTCTTGGTAAAGGCCTTGGTAAGGTAAGCCATAACCTGAGACATATTGTCAGTGTTTTTGGGTACTACATTCTTACACATGAAAACATTGAATGATAAAGGCATTACAATGGACAGCATGCAAACGTGACTAGCAATAATACATTAAATAAGTACAGTGCGTTAAAATAGCATATGACCTCAAAGGCCTTAGTCGCTCCCTCAAAAATATTTTTGCAACACACTGGTGCTCTTTCTGATTTGGAGAATACATAGTGCTTAGCTTAACAGCTTATGTTAACAGTGCTCATTTTTTCCCACAATTTATTTTATAATTGTTTATGGCACTGTGGCAGTTCCTTGCGTTACATTTCAATTTCTGTAGAATTTAACTGAAGAACAAAAACTGATTCAAAGCAAGTCAAAGAGATCCAAATTGATCGCATTTAAAGTTTTGCGGACTCACTAGAAGAGCATTGTGAGTACAAGCATTGTGCTCGCAGGGCAACAAATGTTTAAAAATACATAGATATATATATATATATACATACTTTTACAATGTACTTTTGAAGATAAACAAATATGTTCTTTCAAAGCAGTTTGTAAAAACATTGTACAGTGTGGTTGCGAAATTGCATACAAATGAACTGCTGACAGAATGCTGGATACAGCATAGCCATGGGAATCGACTGAGCTACGGAAGGTAAGACAGGCATTTTTGCTTTATTCATTCTTCCTGATGTTTACGTTATAAGGCAATTTGATCAAAACCATTTCCAGACACCAAGAAGCTACGACTACACGTTAGGTTATTTAGTTAGTGTTTCGTTTGGGGTCTTTCCTCCCTCATGTGTCGAGAGGTCTTGTCAGGCTTCTTGTCTCGAACCTTCCTCAGTCTCCGTGGCGGAGGGGTAGATTTAGACTCGCTAGAGGTGTCCCCTGCATCCCTGTCCTCTGGGATGTTGGGAATGGCTGCACTACTGCCTTCCAGGGTGTTCCTCAGGGACATGTCCTCGGGACTCCCAATTTCACTGCTGCTCAAGTCCTGCTCTTGATTTCTGCTTATTTTAGCCATGCTAGCGCTCGAGGGTTCCTCGCTTTTTCGCAATGGCTGCTGCAGTTCATTCATGTCCACTCCAGAGTCCAAGCTTGTGTCGTTGCTGCTGCCCGGACGGTGTCTTCCTTGAAGCTCGATCACAGAGTGACGAACCTGGGCTGCTGGTTTACCATCAAGAGACACAAACCAGGCCCGGGGTGGGTGAATGGACGGTTTGCCCTTGGAGAGCTCCAGCAAGGTTTGCTCTGATATTCCCTGGAGTTCCCCCCGGAAAGGCCCCATTCTGGCTGCTTCGTTCAATGTTCCTGGGACAGACACGGATTCCAGGAGATGACTGTAGCGGCCCCATAGCCCTGGGTTTGCGGCAGCAGCTTGCGCTCCCTCCAGAGCCTGCTGCTCATCGCTGTCCTGCGGCGGAACTTTTGGCAACGTCTGAGTGAAACTGTCTTTTAAGTTCCGCTCTGTCTGAGCTCCATGCTCCATGCCATTCCTTGGGAAAGTGGCAGATCTACTTCCAGAAGGGTCAGCTTGTCCCTGGGAACTGAACAACTCTGGGGCCGGTACAATCGCCACGGACTGGTTATAGATGTGGAACAGCTTGTCTTTGAAAACTACATTCTCTGCACCATTCTGGCGTGAGGCATTCTGTTCAGATTTTTCCCGAAGCTTTGCAACTTCATCACTATTAACATAAAGATTACACATTTCTAATCCCACAACTCCAATGTTCTCGTACAGATTGCCTGCTGGCCGCCCAACATTTTCCACATAAATATTGTAGTTGGCTTGGTGTCGTGGAGAGTCTGATGCATCATGGCTGATGCCCCTTGCAGCCAGTGAATAAGAACGGTCCCCATTATGGAAGAAAAGTTCTTGAACCTCATCAGAGCTGGTGGAAGTGGTCTGGTCTTTCTTTAGTACAGTGAGCCTGGTGGAATTCCATCGCTTTCTTCCGGCCTCATAGTTTAAATCTCTATAAAACAAGATAGAAAGGGATTGCTACATATTTTGATAATTGCCCTTCACATGAAAATAAGGTTAAGATGAAATAATCAAGTTATGCAATTCAATGTTGCTCAATTGTATTTATGAGAAAGTCATGCAATGATACCTGCATGGCTGAATAAGCTCTTACCTGCAGTGAAATACAATCACAGATAAAAATCCAATGACTATCACAAGAGTTCCTCCCAAGATACCCACAAGAAGGTATGTGTGGTAGGACATGAAATCCATTGAGCTTGCAAACCCCATATAACCTAGATTTACACAAACATAAATCTGGTTAGAGGGCTGCACATGAACACAAGAAGATATGAATTTCAGTGTAAAAGTAAGTAATGAAAGGGGAATGCTTTTGGATTGATAAATAGTAATGATGATTTTACAATACTTATTTTAATTACATATCTTAGAAACGACTGATTCCTACCTGATGATGGTGGTGGTGCAGCAATCCAGTTACCAAGTTGAGGTGCTATGTAATTCCAGACTAGGCCGTTTTTCTCCATCTGAACAGTGCCTATACCTTTATTTACCCAGGTACCTGTGATAACATATAACATCAAGTGCTTCTGTTGGACACAATCCTAAATTCAAAGGTCTCCTAACCTTGATACACAGGCCATTGTGTAAAATGAAGCTCCTACTTACAGTTTTTTGACAATGACTAGGACCTATTTCTCAACAGTTAGGTCACTTTTTCAAAACTCTTCACACAGTTCTCGTACCTATCTCAAATCAAGTAAATCTTCCATAACAATAGAAAAGGTTGTCACTAAACCAACACATTTCCATTTAATGTCACTCATAAAACAATGACCTAAAACACTAACAACAGGCAGCATTATACGTTTTCTTTTGTAAAAATAAACACTGGTCTAGAAGATCAATAATATGTGTACAATGTGCCATCATGTTAGCTCTTGTTAGCTCTTGTTTAAATCTGGGTAACCAAGCAGCCAGGTATTGCCTAATCAATAACACATAATCAATAACATTAACTAATCAATGCAGTAAAGAGTCTAAACAGTAATGGAGTTTGTAGCTTTCATTGACTAAAGCTGTCCTACAATATATACTCCCCTCACAGATCATTAACATTCAGTGAAACACATAGGGTCAGCATTCAACTCAAGAGATGTGATAAGGAATGACAGGACAACTGTTTAGATTTGACTGTACCACCATGTAGTCCGATGCAAAAGATATTTCATCCTTTTTTTTTTTCATCTTACCTCCTTTACCACTCAGGTTTTGAGTAAAGAAATTTGAGTCTTTTTCTGTAGGCAGGGCTGGAACTGTCAGATAGGCTGACAGCATGGAGATGGTAGTGTTCTCAGACAGTTTGAGGAGACTTTTGGAAAACTGTACACTCGGTTGAAATGACAGATCTGTAATGTGAAAATAAATAAATAATACAACAGTAGAAATTTTGTGTGTCAGTATCACATTCAGAGTAGGGCTCCATGCAGCAGATATATGTAGATACTAAAGAGTATAACATTTTTAAAACAGCTTTCAATTTCAAAATAGTGGTATGGATAATTGGATAAAATTATAGGTAGAGTAAGGAATGTTGACATAACTGACATACCAGATGCTTTTCGAGTTATCAGCACAGTATCATCAAAGAGCCAGATGTTCCCTTGTGTTTGAGGGCGCAGAGACATCGTAATAACAGAAAAAACTAGGAAATAGCATAAAAACAAACACTCAAAACTCATTTCAGCAGCCAAGTTTTTCACATTAAAATGATATTAGTTGTATTTCTCCATATGTTTGAAGGTCATTTCTTTAGAGCTCTAGTTGGGTGTTAATACAACAAGCCAGGGCCAGGGTGAGGTCACATGGTTCACAGCTTTCTTGCTGCCTAGTCATCTTTTTCTCACTGTTTATTTTTTCATCTCACTGAAGTGTTATATCTCGCTAAAATATGCAGGGATTAAGAGGAAACTTTAGACTGAATAATAATAAAAAATACATCTAATATATACCTATAAAAACAAAATCAAAAATCTGATGTCCTCACATCATATAAAATATGCAATAACCAAGTAAATTAAATAAATCTGCATCTTTGAGGTTATGAACTTACTGGGCATCTTGGTGGTTTTCCAAGGCAGCTGGGTGAGCACATAACCCTCCATGCTGGCCACCAGAGTGAGGGTCAGGCCAAGGTGGTATGAGACAGTGACCGTGACCTCTCCATTCTCCAGAGTCTGGCTGGAGCGAATCTGGGATCCATTGAAGAACACACCCACCACAGCTCCTTTCAGGAACCTCTGGCTAGATGCATCTTTAACCCAAATCTTCAAGGTCAGGAGTGACTCTAGAGACAGAGAAAATACCAGGTTTTTGTGGAAATGAATAAAAATGAGCATAGAAAGGTATTCTGGTAGCTTGAATGCTATATTTGGCCTCAAACCCTTGTAATATGTGTCAAAGATAAGAGAATCATTTTTAAAAAATGAAACGAATTAAATGGAGTTTAAGGTTAACCACATGGACCAATGTTTATAATTTAATTGAGGTAACTGAACTGTAATTGCTCAACGAATTAAAAACCAATACAGCCAACACGGAAAAAAACTGGTTGGTGATAGTAAAATCTTAGCCTTGAAATAGTTATGACCACTGGACCCACGGGTCAGGCAGAGCGGCTTAAAAATAGATCAAAGTGCCAAATGTTGGATGAGCACATCAGTGAAAAACTGAGACTTGAAAATCCTCTTTGAAATGTCTCTCAATACTGAAAAAAGAAGTGAATCCCTCGTTCTTTGCATAGACCATGTGCAGATCCTCAAAACACAACATGACCAGGAGGAAACAATGGGAGACACTAGAATTATAAAGCGACATAGCTTCAACATTGATTTTTATTGAAAATGCTTTTGGTCTTCTTCTTGCCCTGATATTTGGAGTTTATTAAAAGATTACTATTACAAAAATTTTGTAATAGTACTAAACTAAAATATTAACTAAAAAATAGTAATTACTAAAATATTAGAAAATTTAGAGAAAAAAATGTAAATTAAAAAAATCTGAATTATTAATATTTATTTTGAATTAATGTTCTATAATATATTTTGACCTTTGTGCAACATAAATGCCAATTATTTTTCTCAAATGCATGCATATATATATATATATATATATGACATTTTAGCAAATTGGGGCAAATTTAGCAAACACCTGACATTAAAGACCTAATAGATTTGATTATACTGTCTATCTCAAACAGAATGGTCTTGGATGATACTGGCTCTAAAGTAATCCCACATTAAATGCACAATGACTCTGTACATTCAAGATAAACAGTGCAATGCTGCTCACCCATATCAGCTATTCACTTCTAAATAACGTGGACATGGCTGTCCTAAATAAACCTGAAATAGGTGGCTTCACTGCAAAAGAGCTTCGCAGGCTCACAAATAATAGACACATAATGAATGCTACAGGCCAGTGTTATGAGACAGCAAGCACAGCGGTTAACAGCGCACCCATGTCCTTTGTTGTCATGTACCCCATCATGAAAACATCCCTATTATTTGTAAGCACACCGCATGCAGAGCTCATGGCGGTGCTGATGCTGAGGATGTAGATGATGCCAGCGGATGCCGTGACCGTTACCTGATGCCGTCGCATCCCCCTGTCCCTTGAGCGTGGACGTCTGTGTCTCGCTAGCATTGAATTTGTCCTCCTCCGACAGCGAGGCGAGGCCGTGGGAGAGCACCCCACCCTGCGCTCTCCTCACGTACCCATCCTCGCAGAAAATCAGCAGCGCGGCGAGGAGCAGACACCCCGAAAGATCTGGCATGGCGTCTCAGACATAACTGCACTCAGTGGCACGGAGAAGGAGAATGTTGTTGTTTTTCTGTCTTCAGGTGGATGTGTAATGTCACGGTCACATCGTGCTTCTCGGGCGGACCGACGGATATCTGAGGCTGCTGGAGTCAGACGGGTGCGCGTGTTGCGTCATAGCTCATGCGATGCCATCTGCTGGCTCAGTGTTTTTTCTTTTTGTTAAAGCGTACGCAGTTACGCAATGCTCTTTTCATGCCTAGGTAAACATTTTACATTATTTTAATGATTTGTATGACGTGATTAAAAATATTAGTAAAACACGTTTACATATTTTTGTACACAAATTTCTAAATGGTTATAAAAATGTGAAAATATATAAATATTTAATATATATATATATATATATATATGTGTGTGTGTATGGGCTATAACATATATGGCTATTTACTTATACATTATGCACTAATATATGAGTGTATAATTGAGTCTAAAAATAAACTTTTTTTTTTAGGAACAATATTAAATTTTTCTCTACATAAACCACCAATCAAACGTTCAGACATAATACTACTTTTCACATTTTACAACATTAAACCCATCAAAATGATGATATACCACAAATGGAAGTTTTAATCATGTACTGAAAAAAAAAATCACTTAAAAACAAACTGCTGTATATTATGCAAAACCATTTTAATTGTCATGAATTAAGTGAACAGAATCACTGTTCATTAGCTGTAAGACATCTGAAGGACAAAGCAGTTTTTTGTGAGGTATTGAAATACCTCCATTTTATTGTAATAATTCAAGCGAATTACATTGTTATAATGTACAACATACAAACAGACTGTGGAAAAGGTCTTCTGTAAGGAGAAAGTCTTGAAAGAAAAAAGAAAAAGTGACCACATTTTCTCACTCACCCATTCTCCAAAAACAAAAAAACAAGTGCATTAATAACATAAAAACAAAAACCAGGAAATTAATAAGGGTCTTATTTATTTTTTTAAAATCATCAAGATATTGAAAACAATCTCCTTTTCAAGCAGCCCTATAAATGAGTGGATGAACGTTCCTCAACTGAACCATGTAAAAGTATGAATCGTCCAAGATCCCCAATCATCCTCTTTCCCCAAACCAGCTTCTAAGCATAGTTATTTAAAGCACTCATGGTGTTCATCTGTTCACCTGACTTATTATTATTTTTTAACTGAATAAAGCTTTAGAGTGCTCACCAACCTCTGAAGCAAAAAAAATAAAAAATAAAAAATTCATAACAGTATCCAAAGAGCTCCCATAAAACTTTGATTATCTGCATATTATGAAAGCCTTGTGATAGGCTAAAAACAGTGGTTACGCTGCCAATCAGACATTGGCTAAAGTAACTTCAAACAGGAGGACACAGGTCAAGAACAGCAAGTGGGAGGAGGCCGAGACAGACTGCTAAGCCACGCCTCCTTCCTTCCTGCCAACACATTAAACCTCCTCCTCCTCCTCCTCCTCCTCCTCCTCATCATCATCATCATCATCCTCCAACTCACAGAAATCGATGGACGGTCTGCTGTCCTCTGCCTCATCTTCATCCGATTCTGCGTATGAACCTTTGAGTCCAAACATAAGGAATATGCAGAAACATTAAAAAAAAAACCTGAAAGGGAAGAGGGAGGAAAAAAAAAAAAAAAAAAAAAGCCAGATGCCACCTTCTGGTGGAGAATTAAACATAAGTAAGCATTTTTAACACCAACAAGGCACTGGTAATTCCTTCCATGCATTCAACAGCCAATTATAACTCACTAAGTTGGTTAATAAATAAACAGATGTAGTAAATGCCATGCAAACAAATTTTAACATTTGCTTACACTTTAAACTTAAATCTTTTTTTTTTTTTAAACCATGTACACATTTTTGCATATTTAATATCAGCACTAGAACAAACATTGGGTTATAGCGATGTAACGATTCACTCAACTCACGATTCGATTCATGATTCTGATTTCACGATTCAATTCAAGGTTATTATTATTTTTTTTACAAAATGAGATTTAAGACAAATTATAAATTAAATGTGTCCTTTTATTATTGCTTGGACAAAATGCTGCACATTTCTTTGTGAAATTGAAATATAACACTATAATAATATACTAATATAGCACTTGCATATTACTGCTCTTTTGTTGGATTTGATTGCTTCTATTGTCCTCATTTGTAAATCGCTTTGGACAAAAGCGCCTGCTAAAAGAAAAAATGTAAATATAATGTAAATAACAAAACTTAACTACATTGAAATTTTAAAACAAGCCCCAAATCAAATAAATAACACAAATAAAATAAATATCTTCTTAAACAGCGGACGAGCTGAATGAGACGCAGATGCACTCTCTGCCAGCAAGTGGCGCTTAAAGCTTTTCCTGGTTTCCGCTGTAAACAAAGCAGCGCTGCACTTATGAACTTTAATATGCATTATACAGAGGATACCATCTAAACTTTTCTAAAGACAGTAAGTTCCCCTCAGACATGCATTCATATAAAC